CTAGTAAGGTAAAGTGGTAAAAACAGTGGAACAAAAGTACAAGGTATGTTTGTAGAGCAAAAAATAATGCAGAATGACTTGTGTAGTTTGGGGAAAGGCTAGTACTCTCCAACACAACTTCCTGTGATGGTGGAAATTTTTATATCTGAAAATTTTCATATCTGTAAATATAGTAGCCACAAATCACAGTGTTACCAAGTATTTGAAATAATGCCAGTATGACTGCGTAACTCAACTTTTTATTTAAATTTAATTAGCTGTAGAATCTAGGGGCAGATAATCCTGGAGATGATACTGAGGACAAACAAGGGTACATGAATGAAATAGCTATCAGGGCAAGGACCAATGAGTTTCATCACTGCAACTAGCAGTTTATACAGTGTTCAGGGGACATGGATGACCAATATGGTTTGCTTATGTAAAATTTAGGTTCACACTCACTAATGAAATGGAAGGCAACTGAAGAATCTAAAAAGGGATCAATATGGCCACATTATTTCATTGGAAAGAAATATAATTGTGAATCAAAAGACCAACTGGGAGGTGCTTATACTTTTTCAAGCAAAGAGGGTCTGACCCAGGATAATGGTAATAGAAACAAGAAGTGGAAGGAGAAAGAGGGATTCAAGATGTAAACAAGATGTAAAATCAACAGGCTTTTTTCTTTTTCTTTCTTTTTATTTTTTGTGTGTGCCAGGGATTGAATCCGGTGGTGCTTAACTACTGAGCCCCAGCCCCAGCCCATTTTTGTACTTTATTTAGAGACAGAGTCTTGCCGAGTTGCTTAGAGTCTTTCTAAATTGCTGAGGCTGGCTTTGAACTTGCAATCCTCCTGTTTCAGCCTCCTGAGCCGCTGGGATTACAGGCATGTGCTTGGCAAATCAACAGGCTTTGAGGCCTGATTTGATAGAGAGGCAAAGAAAGGCAAGTCAACCATTTTTTTCTTATTTATTGAGCTCCTACCTCAACTGGCATGGTTTTAGGCATGAGAAAGATAATAAAGTCCTTGTCCCAGAGAATCTTGCAATCTAATGGGGAAAGAAAATCATCAAATAGGGCTAGATTGTGCCTAAGTGGCAGAGCACTTGCCTAGCGTATGTGAGGCACTGGGTTTGATTCTTAACACTACATATCAGTAAAATTAAAAAAAAAAAGGTTTTTTTATACTTCAAAAAGAGAAAATCAACAAATATTGACACTGATATTCCTATCTGGATGCCAGGTGGCAAAATTTCTCTGGAGAAAAACAAAGAACAAGGGGATAGGGAGTTTTGGAAGAATGGAGGGTAGTCTGAGGCTTTTTACTGAGAAAGTGACATGTATATATACAGTTCACATGAAGTGATCAAGGAATGCAGATTAATGGGGTATGGGATATGCATTCCCAGGAAAATAACATTTTCAAAATCCTCAAGGCAGGAGTAGAGTTTTTTTGATCAATAAAGAGGAAGGGGTCAGGAGTAGCCAGGCGGAAGTGTCCAAGAGGAATAGGGCCAGAAGCTCATCTGGTCACATAGGATTTGTAGGCAACTGTTAGAACTTTGGTTTTTATTCTTGATAAGATAGGAAGCCACTGAAACTTTTTAAGCCAATGAATGACATAATTTGTTTCACATTTAAAAAGGTCATTCATGGAAAATGGGCCATAGGGGACAAGGGGCAAGCAGGGAGACCAGTGAGAAGAAAACTACAATAATCCAGGCAAGGGGTAGGGTGGGCTGAATTAGTGTGGTAGTCAGGGAGGTGACGAGACTGTTTGGATTCAAAAGTTAGAGATGACCAGATTTGCTTATTTTTAGGTAGAAAAGAAAAAACAACAAAGAAGACAAGAAGATTCCAAGATTTATGGCTTGAGCAAAGCAAAATATGAGGTTCTCACTTTTTAACATGAAGAAGGATGTAGGAAGAGAAGGTTTGGTTGGACCAATTATGGGTTCTGTTTTAGACCTCAGCACTTGAGACAGTTATTATATACCAAATGTGGAAATGTCAAATATGCATTTGACATGATTGATTCTTTTGAAAATGGTAGAAATTATAGCATGTTTCATATTGATGGGAATAATTCAGTAGAGAAAAATTTAAAAGGCATGGATAGATAGGCCCTGAAATTATACAAAATGGTAACATTTGGAAAAGCTGGCTTAAGAGTACATGTGAATTCCAGGTTGGGGATAAAGGTGAGTTGGTAGAGTGCTTGCCTGGCATGAACAAAGCCATGGGTTCAATCCCCAGCACCAAAAAAAAAAAAAAAAAGTATATGGGAATTCTCTTTTTGTAGGTATTTAAGCCTAAAACTAATTCAAAATACAAACTTTAAAATAAATAAATATTAGGTATGCAGGAAGCCCGGAAGCCTTTAAGTCCACTTCAGGGCACTAAATAAATTACTCCTAGGGCAAATACTGGAAAGCAGTATTTGCCACTTAGGTGGTGGGGTAAGGAAAGAAAGGCATGCCCTTAAAAACAAGAGTTTCAGGAAAAGAAGAATAAAACCTGATACACTTTGAACTTGGCTTTTAGATATTTGATAGCATTTTTTTCCCGTTTCTAAGCACAATGGAAAAGAGTTAAGAAAAAGAATCTTGGGGCTGGGATTGTGGCTCTGCGGTAGAGTGCACCGGGCAGGACCCAGGCAGGACCCAGGTTCGAACCGGGCAGGACCCAGGTTCGATCCTCAGCATCACATAAAAATAAAGGCATTGTGTTGTGTGTACACCTAAAAAATAAATATTAAAATATTAAAAAAAAAGAAGAAAAGGAATCTTAACTCTTTTCCATTGTGCTTAGAAAAGAGTGACCAGGACAATTTTGAAGGATCATCCTACCACACTGGGGAAGAAGATCAAAGAATACCAATTCCAATGTCATGTAAAAGGTGAGTTCTGGGCTGGGGATATAGCTCAGTTGGTAGAGTGCTCGCCTCACATGCACAAGGCCCTAGGTTCAATCCCCAGCACCAAAAAAAAAAAAAAAAAAAGTGAGCCCTCTACAAGGGTCACAATTTTTTTTTTTTGGTAGTAGGGATTGAACCCAGAGGTTCTTTACCACAGAGTTATGACCTTTTTATTTTTTATTTTTGAGACAGGGTCTCAGTTGCTTAGGGCCTTGCTTAGTTCCTGAGGCTGCCTTGAATTTGCTATTCTTCTGTCTCAGTATTCCGAGTCTGGGATTACAAGCAAGAGCTATTGTGCCTAGCTTCAGGGCCAGAATATTTTAATTTCACAGGTTCTGCAAGGGGTCAGAGCATAACCACATATCTACTCTTTTTCTGTTTTGCAATACCGGAGATTGGACCCAGAGTTGCTTTATCACTGAGCTGTATCTCCAGCCCCACCTCCCCCTTTTTTGAGACAAGTTTTCCCTAAGTTGCTTAGGGCATCCCTTAGTTGCTGAGGCTTCCATTGAATTTGCCATTCTCCTGCATTAGGCTCCCAAGCCACTGGGATTACAGGTGTGTCCCACCAACCCAACCATACATCACACATTCACTTTTTTTTTTTTTTTTGGTACCAGGGATTGAACCCAGGGGCACTTAATCATTTTATTTGCAAAAAGAGTCTCGCTAAATTGCTGAGGCTGGCTTTAAACTTGTGATCCTCCTGCCTCAGCCTCTGGAGTGACTGGGATTACAGTCCTGTGCCACAACCAGCCATGCATTCATTGTGTGTGTGTGTGTGTGTGGGGAGGTCCCAGGGATTGAATTCAGAGGCACTGGACCACTGAGCCACATCCCCATTTTTTAATTTTATTTAGAGACAGGGTCTCACTGAGTTGCTTAGTGTCTCGTTGTTGCTGAGGCTGGGTTTGAAATCGTGATCCTCCTAACTCAGCCACCGGAGCCGCTGGGATTGCATGTGCACCACCATGCCCAGGCATACATTGATTCTTAAGACAACCACCTACACACCTTTATACAGTCACAATCATACACAAAAAGGACACACAGAGCCAGGCAATCTACTCACAACTGTGACACAGTTATTCCCTTATAATCATAAACTCTTCACACCATCACCCCAAAATACCCTATACAGTCAAAATCACACACTACTCCAGGGGGACACACACAATGACATTCTACATCACCCAGTCATAATTGAACATTTACTCTGGAGACATTCAGTCACACACTAGCAAAGGCACTCCATACTCTCATACACAGTAGCACACACTGTCACAGTCACCATTTATCTCCGTCACACAGCCCCTTTAAGGAACATAACAGGGATACACACACAGTGTCACCCAAGTCACCGGCATACAATTATATAGTTTACCACATACGGTCACAGAGTCATACAGTCCGACACCCTCACCGGTCAGTCATAAGCATCCAGGAACAAGGCAGACACGCACATATACGCAACAGGGACGCACATATCATCACCCCCACAGTTACAAGGATTCGGCACCACAACACGCAGTATCACACATGGATATATAAAAACAACCAGACATACACCTTAGAGACAGGCGATGACAACCGCAAACTCAGAGGCAGCCACACCCAGTCACCTAACCACAAAGACACAATCAGAATCGCGCATTCTCGGTCTGCTCCCGCCTTCGCGCACAGACCCAAGGCTCCGGACACGCCCCGTCCCCGCCCCGGACTACCAGACCCCTCACCTTCTGCCTCCTCTGGTCGCGTCCGGGTCCTTACGGAGCTAACGATCTCGTCACGACGTCAAGAAAGACGTAACGTTGGGCCGCTGTGGACTCTGGGAAACGTGGTCCAGCGCCACACCAGCCATGGACAAGATGGAGTCTTCTCACTTCTGAGTCTTGGCTTGGCCCGTTTTGAGACTGCACTGGGGAGGTATTAAGGAGGAAGTCTTCACTCCAGACATCCCAGCAGGTTTGAGTTCATCTGAGTCCAACAAAGGACCACTCACCACAAGAACCCCAAATTCACAGGAGGACGCTGTCAAGGTTGTGTGGGGGGGTGGGGACAGAAAGAGAATCGACCAGCAATGCCTTAAGGGAAATGTAGTCCAAGGCCGGAAAAGCGGCGTTGCTGGTAATACAAGGTAATCACACAGCCTGGGCCTGGTTCGCGCATACTCAGGGCGGAGTCGCGAAGACTTCTGGGAGTGCTCGCTCTCTCTCGGAGTGCGCAGGCGCGGCCCACCGAGTGGACATTTTGGTCTTTGTCCGCGGGTCAGGACGGTCTCTTGGTCCACGTGGCGCGTAAGTAGGAGGTGGGATCTGGGCGTTTTGGGTCGGTCGGGCTGGGGAGGTTGAAGGGTAGGATTCCCAATCGTTAGGGCCGCGGCGCGGGATTGGGGAGTGGGTTTAAGAGCTTCTGGCCTACGTGTGAGCGAAGGTGGGGCCCTCTGAGGAGGGTTCGAGCGTGTGTGACCCTGAGTTTGACCGCAAAGTTTGTCCCGTTGTTTGGAATCGTTGAGTGAATGTGGAACTGGTGCGGAATTGTGTGTGATTGCGCCTGAGGAGTACATGTGGAGACCAGCATTGAGGTGTAACGTCTAAGCCGAACTTCCCGTGTCGAAAATGCTGATGACGATAACGTTGCCATCTTCCTGGAACACCTACTTTACTTGAAGGTGTGGGGGGGTGTTAGTGAATAATTTTAAAACGATTTTTATATAAAACACTTATTTTCGATTGGAAAGTACCCTGACTTACTAAATATTTTTTAAACAATATTTCAAAATAATTTTTTATCGTTGTTACGGGGTTCTGGCTTCAGACTTTCAGATCCCCTCATCTTTGGGGTATTTTAATGGAGCTGCTAGGCAAATTCCTAGACTATCCTTTCACTTTGGGTAGAAGTGGGCAAAAAGCTCAGCAACAGGAAGTCAGAGGTTGTAGATAAAGTACAGTTATCCTCTTTGAAAAAAACTCAGTAGTTGAGATGCTCGTACGATGTATAAATTTTGTGCCATAATGAAGAAAAATAACTTCTGGCTGGTAATTATTATTATTACTTTTTGCGGTGCTGGTGATGGAACCCAGGGTCTGTTCACTCTAGGCCAGCGCTAGCGCTCTTAGGAGACTAGATCTCATCCCTTAAGATGTTTTTAATAGACTTCATCCGCAGTCACCTTTCGTGTAACTGTATATGATACGAGTTAATAATTTGGTACCAAATTAAGATTTCCAAACGAATAGACTAGAGATATAATTGAAGAAAATGACTGTTTTACAATAGCAACAAATTAAAACACTAAAAAATATAAGAAATGTTCAAATTATTAGAAAATAACTTTAAAATGCTACTAAGGGGTGTTACCTAAGATGTGAACAAAATAGAAATACCACCTTACCTAAAGTAGTGTGGAGGCCTAGGGACTTAGCCCCGTGGTAGAGTGTATGCCCAGCATGTGCAAAGACCTCTGCATTCAGTCCCCAGCACCACACAGTAAGTTTATTAATGTCCTGTAATATCAACGAAAGTATTGACAGGCTTGTTCAACTGCGTTAAGCTGATTTTATACTTCATTTGGAAAAACAGACAAGCAACAATAGGCCACTGAAAATCTGAGGGTGTGGGAGGTGGGATTCAGCCCTAGCACTTTAAACAGTTTCAAGGCTGGTTTTGTGGCTCAGTGGCAGAGCACTTGCCTGAATCCCTGGGTTCCAGCCCCAGGACTGCAAAAAAGGGAAAATAACACCAATTACAAAAAAAAAAAAAAAAAAAAAGGTGGGGGGAGGAAGAAAGAAACATTCAGAAATTAAAATGGTATTGGCATGAGTACAGCCTGTGAAGGCAATGTTTACAATAACTACTACCAGGTAGGAGATTATACAACAAAACATGCAGCTGTACAAAACAATGGGGAGGAAGCTTTCTCTATATTTACACTGAAATTACAAAATTAGTTAAGTGAAAAAGTATAGAATGTAGAGTGTGCTTTATTTGCAGTAAAAATACTGGGTATCTTTGAATTTCCGTTTTTAAAAAAGAGCTGGGCGTGGTGTTAACATGCCTGTCATCCCAGTGATTTGGGAGGTTGAGGCAGTAGGATTGGAAGTTCAAGGCCAGCCTCAGCAATTTGGACTCAGCAATTTAGTGAGACCGTCTCAAAAATAAAAACTGGAATGGACGGGATGGAGCTCAGTGGTAAAGCTCCCCTGGGTTCAATTCCCAGTACCAAAAAAAAAAACAAAAAAAAAACCAAACCTAATAATCTATTTGTGTTGTGTGTAGGGGTACTGTAATAAATAATGCGAAGGCAACAGTACCTCTTTGCTTCTTTTATAAAACTGTGTAATGTAGAATACATTCTAAGGGCTTTTTAAAGAAGGACATCAGAGGGCTGGGGTTGTGGCTCAGTGGTAGAGTACTTACCTAGCATGCATAAGGCACTGAGTTTGAGCCCTAGCACCACATAAGAAAAACTAGAAAGGGCTGGGGTTGTGCAGATATCAATGGTAGAATACTTGCCTCACAAGCGTGAGGCCCTGGGTTTGATCCTCAGCACCACATAAAAATAAATAAGCAAAATAAAGGTATTTTGTCCATCTACAACTAAAAAAATTTTATAAAAATAGATATTGTGTTCATCTACAACTAAAAAAATTTAAAAAGGACATCAGATTTCCTGTGTTAACTCCTCCCTCTGCCACTTTGTACCTCAGTGACTTTGGCAGGTACTTAGACCTTATGACTCAGTTTCTTTTTTTTAATATTTACTTATTTTTTTATTTTTATTGATTTCTTACATACATGACAATAGTGGAAGACTCAGTTTCTTACCTGGTAATATAGAAACAGAAGAATCTGATTCACAGTGGTTTTGCAAGTCAAAAAGTTGATATATAAAATTCTAAGAATAGATTTAATTTAATAATAGTATTTACTAATTTTTTTTTTTTGTGTGTGTGCGTGCGCATATGTGGTTATGGGGGTTAAACTATGGTTTTGCCCATACAAGGCATGCACTCTGCTACTGAGTTACATTTCTAGTACTAGTGCTATTATTATTTGTTGTCTGCAGGAAAATTTAGGAACTTTCTCAAAAATAGTATAACCATTTGCACTGTTTATGGTAGAAATTTCTGAAATATAAATGCGATTTTCTAACTTCTGTATCTTAGAATTTTTACCTTTTTTGTTGTTGTTTTGGGGCATTTCCTCTTAGTTGGAATGAAAAAATGAGAATTGTGTTCAAGTGCTCATCTTTAGAAGTTCATCTACCTCCTTCATGAAACTTCTTTGATCACTAAGTGTTACCTTCATGTTTGTAATCCTGAATTTCTGGTATTTTTAGAAAATTCTAAAGGTAGTTCATTTTTGGCCATAATACACAGGAGCTGATCTTTTCTTTTCCCTCCCTCCCTTTCTTTGTTTCTTTCTCTTTCTTTCTTCTTCCTTTCCTTGTTCCTTTTTCTTTTCCCTTTTTCTTTCCCTTTCCCTTTTCTTTCCTCCCGCCCCCTCCCTCCCTCCCTCCTTCCTTCCTTCCTTCCTCTCTTTCTCTCTCTTTCCTTTCTTCCCTCCCTACCGTAATTGAACTCAGGGGCACTCAACCACTGAGCCACATCCCCAGCCTTATTTTGTATTTAAACACAGGGTCTTACTGAGTTGCTAAGTGCCTCCTGCCATTGCTGAGTCTAATGTTGAACTCTCAGTCCTCCTTCTCATTCTCCTGAACCGCTGGATGACAGGCATGCGCTACACCAGGCTAGGAGTTGATCTTGAATACTTCATATAGCATTGTATCAGGAGAGGTGTACTATTGTGGCTGGTCCACCATTGTTGACTATACTTTTCCCTTTATGATCAGATGTTTGTCTGTGGTTTTACTTTGGTAAATCATTTAACTGATGGTTTTAGCAACAGTAAGTGATCCTTGGCTGAGTCAGTAATTTCTGTAGAGCTTGTAAAGTGATTTTACAGTATTTTTTTCTAGGTCTTTATATTTATTTGATTGTTACCTCAAATTTTTCCTGGGTTTTTCTTTTTTAAGCAATATTATTTGCAGAGCTGGATATTGAACCTAGGACCTCACACATTCTAGTTAGTGCTCTACCAGTGGCTATACCCAGCCCTAAACATGATTTTAACCCATTATATCCTATCATTCTATATATAGGATACTTATAAAAAAAACTTCAATTGGGTAACAGTTATACCACCTATGGTCACTTTGAAATAAATGTTATGTTTTTAGAGTTCTTTTGAGAAAAGAAGTAGATGAGTGATTAGAGCATTTCATATATGTATAGAAAATATGTTTAAAAAAATTTAAGGTATTTAATGATGTGTATGGCATTTTTTGACTTTACAGTCCAGGATATATCTTTTACTGCCCCTTTTTTTTTTTGTTGGGGTTCTGGAGTGCTTTACTACTGAGATTTTTAGGCCTTTTTATTTTTATTTTTTTTACTTTGAGTTAGTGTCTCGCTAAATTGCTGAGTCTGTCCTTGAACTTGTGATCCTTCTGCCTCAGACCCAGACACTAGGATTATAGTGTATCTTTAAAAATAAACTCTAGGTTATGATTTTCAAACTATTCTAGTGCACCTGATCAGTTTTTTAAAAAATATTTACAGAATTGAAATCTAGGACTTAATGGGTTCAAATTGTATAGATTTAGTGTGTTCTAATAGCACCAGTGGTTTGTATGGGGGGTGGGATGTTTTATGCTTGTGTCATCACAGTTGAAATCAGTGGCTGCTGCTTTAGTCTTATTTTGAATTGACATCATTTATCCTTGAAAACTTTAAGTAATTGAAATCTAGGTTTACTTTGTTTATATTCTATCCTGGAGTGGAATTGACCACTTTCTCCAAGGAGTTCTAGAGAATGGCGAAAGAACCTTAAGATCCAGGGCAATGTTGTTTCAAGGTTGTTATTTGTTTGTTTTTGGTGCTGGGGATGGAAGCCAGGGCCTTCTTGGCAGTTGCTCTATCACTAAGTTGCATCCCCAGCCGCTCAAGGCCATTTTAAATCATGAGTCCATATTAATATTTCTAATTAAGCTTAAATGGCATAGTATTTTTTTCTTTTATCTTAGATCCTATTGTATTTTGAAATTTAAAATTTGAAGCAGGTTATAAGTACTTACTACTGAAGAATGAAGAGAATGATTTCAAAATAACAGTATTGACAGTAGTAAACCATAAACATACTGAATCATTATGGCTTTTTTTTTTTTTTTTTTTTGGTTCTTTCAGTGTATCTCTTAGAGATGTATAGTTCAAAACTTCTTTGTTCTAAAGCCATTTGAAATCAATTCTTTCTCTGAGGAGTTATGTAACTAAATTAATATACAGTTAACTTCATTTGTTTCCATTTGTTTTCAAGTTGAGACTGCTTTTTAAAAGAATTTGATTACTTAAAAAAAGTAATACATTTCTATGATTCAGCAAAAATACATCTCAGAAATATTCTGCTCTTCTAATTACATTCTTCTTTGTCCCATGTAAGTACAGTTTATTGACTTTTTTGTTGTTTGTTTCTTGTTTACCCTTCAAGTGGATTTTTTTGTTGTTGTTTGGTCACATTTATTCCTCTCTCCGATTCCCCACTCTCTTTACATATAGGGTAGCATACCATCGTCACCTCTTTATACCTCACTTTTTCCACTTAAAAGTTCTGGGGCTAGGTTGTGGCTTGGTGGTAGAGTACTTGCCTGCACATGTGAGGCACTGGGTTCAATTCTCAGCACCACATAAATAAATAAATGTATGTATTGTGTCCATCTACAACTAAAAATAAAAAATAATTATGGGGCTGGGGATGTGGCTCAAGCGGTAGCGCGCTCGCCTGGCATGCGTGCGGCCCGGGTTCGATCCTCAGCACCACATACAATCAAAGATGTTGTGTCCGCCGAAAACTAAAAAAAAAAAAAATATTAAAAAATAATTAAAAAAAAAATTATACCCTGAAGATGTCCATCCCCCTTCCCCCCCCCCCCCAGTACTGGAGATTGAAGACGGGTACTCTACCACTGAGTTATATTCCTACCCCCTTTTTATTTTATTTTTTAATTTTGGGACAGGTGTCTCCCTAAGTTGCCCGGGATGGCCTCAAACTTGCAGTTCTCTTCCCTCAGCCTTCTCAGTAGCTGAAATTACTGGTGTGGACCACCATCTGGGGCAAGATGTTCTTATTATCTCCTTCCCCTTCTTAACTATGGTGTGAGTAAGGTATCATAGTGTGGTTGTAACAGTTGATTCAGTTAATCCCCTGTTGAACATTTGGCTTTCTGATCTTTTGCTCTTACAAACAATGCAGTAATGAGTAATATGTGTCATTTTGTATTTAGGCAGGACTCTCTCTAAAGTAGATTTCTTCAAGAGGAATTGCCCAATGGTAAGTATTTATATCCCCACCAACAGTGTGCATTAGCGTCTTTCCCCCTGGAACCTCAGCGTTGGACTTTAGTGTTGAATATTTGATATTTTGCCAAAGACATGAATGAGATTTAATTTATATTGCTTTATTACAAGTGAGGTATTGAGTATCTTTTCATAATTGTCTGTTCATACCCTTTCCCCCAATTTTTTTTTTAAATATTTTTCTTTAGGTGTAAGTTGACACAATACCTTTATTTTATTTATTTACTTATATGTGGTGCTGAGGATGGAACCCAGGGCCTTGCACATGCTAGGCGAGTGCTCTACCACTGAGCCACAACCCCAGCCCCTCCCCAACTTTTTTATGGAATGTCTTCTAGAAACTGTGTACACACAAAGTTAGCCCTATGTGAAATAAGTTTGAAGGTTTTTCCACCTAAGTTTTTCATTTTGTGTTTTGATAAGTTTTTTTGTATATTTTTTCATTTGTTCACAGAGATTTTCATTTTTAAACTATGCAAAATCAGGAAGTTTTTGTAGATTTATCTGCCTTTTCATTACTAATCATAGTCATCTTTTCCCATTCTGAGTTTCACCTGTTTTCAGATTTTCTTTTTTCTTTTTTTTCTTTTTCTTTCTTTTTTTAGTTGTAGTTGGACACAATATCTGTATTTTATTTTTATATGGTGTGAACCCAGGGCCTCACACGTGCTAGGCAAGCGCTCTACCACTGAGCCACAATCCAAGCCCTGTTTTCAGATTCTTTATAGTGCTGTAGTTTATATGGATTTTATATATAATCCATTTAGAGTTTAAAAAACAAAAAGGGCTGGGGATGTGGTACAGTGGTTAAGCACCCTGGGTTCAATCCCTGGTACCAAGAAAGTAAAAGGAAAAAATGTTTTTTGAACAAATGGATAAACATTTGTAGGACATTTCTGATACAGTATGAAGAAGTAAATATTAAAACTCCAGGAAAACTATTGACTTTTTATTCCTGAATACTATTAGAACAACTGCTTACACATTGTACTCATGTGGCTTAGTTTCATTAGACAAAGATAGTGAGTATTGAATTCATGCAGGAATAAGGGCCATAGTGAAAATCTATTCAGGAACCTGGGTTGGAATGTGGTGCTAGAGAACAATAGCAGTCAGTCATGCGAGCAAATGAACAGTTTTCCTATGTGACTAAAATTCTGAAAGCTAATTCTTCCTTTCTGTATGTGTGGAGACTTCAAATGACTTAGTATGACTTTGAGATTTAGGATTCAAAATGTTTATTTCCTATGCACATACTTGTGTTCTCTAGTCACCAAGGCAAAAAGTCATTACTTTGTTCTGTTTCACAGGGCTGCTTCCTTGTGTATCTCTGCAAACTACATTTTCCTCATCCTTCAGAAGGCTATAGACCCTGAATCCCCAGGGCTTCTCCTGAGTTCTAGGATGGTGCTTTGGCCTCATCATTAACATTCTAATCCTGTGATTTCCCTTGAAAGCAGGTGATAAAGAGACCAAACTGTATGATCCTCCACTGAAGCAAGAAGATCCACTGGATGGTGGGGAAAAAGTAGAAAAGAAGTCTTGTCAGGTGAGGGAATGACAGGCTGAAGTGCTTTTGAAGACATTTTCTTATTCTGTAGGTTCCTGAGGGATGTTTTCAGTCATAGTGTGGTTTTTTTTTTTTTTTTTTTTTTCTTTTTTGTTGGGGGGTGGGTATTGGGTTTTGAATTCAGGGGCACTTAACCACTGAGCCATATCCCTAGCTGGGTTTTTTGTTTTTTGTTTTTTGTATTTTATTTAGAGACAGGGTCTCAGCTGAGTTGCTTAGTGCCTTCCTGTTGCTGAGGCTGGCTTTGAACTCATGATCCTCCTGCCTCAGGGCCACATACCCTCTCTCTCGTCTTTGTTCTCTCGTCAACACTTAATACTTCATTTTTACTGCCTCTGTTTTGGTTGTTTTCCTTCAGTGTCATATCCAGTTTCATAACTCTGTATGTGTGTCCTTTATAGGTCATATGTCTTTGTATATCATCTAGTGTTCATGTTCCTTTTTATTCCTTGTCTCATTCTTTCAGTGGTTAAGTGCTTCAGAATTATATTTTATATCTGTAGTCTTACTTCATGTTGCCTTTTAAACATCTCCCTTGTCATAGATCAGTACACTTCTCCACTTTTCTCTCTTCACTTCTGTATACCTCTTACATATGTTGCCAACTTAGAAATTATTGGTGCCTGTCTACTACTGTGTGTGTGTGTGTGTATGTGTGTGTGTGTGCGCGCACATGTGGGTACCTGAGTATTTGCTTTGTGAAAATCCCCCTCCCATCTTTATTGATGAATACTTTCAGGGCCAGTAAAACTTTGATTAAATCATTTGGGCTTTTTTCTGTTGTCTTTTGACATAGGTGTAAACATTTTCGAACGTCAAGGTACATAGCAAAAAAAAAAACAACACAAAATTCCCTCTTGTCTCTGACTCTTAGTCCTCCTGCAGTGTTTCTTTTCAAAGAGGCACACATATTCCTCTTTGAGGGAGTCCATGAAAAACCAGCATATGTTATATATCTCTGCCACAAACATACACATAAGCTCTCATTTTTCCTTTTCATGTAAGTGGTGTTACATATTTTATGTGTGCAGTATTTTTTTCCTTAGAATTCTTCATCAATACATAATGTATTTAACCTGTCTCCTATTAATGGCTGTGTAGGCTATTTTCAGACTTATGCTATTGAAGATACCAGAATGCATGCTTATTTATATTGATTTGCAGAGATATGCAGACAAAACTGCATCTCTTTTACTACTTAAGAGTAAGTAAAAAATGTAAGTAAAATGTAGTAAAAGTAAAAATTTAGTAAAAGTTAGGTTTGATTGAAATATGCACATTGTTCTCAAAAGAGAAGTAACCAATGTACATTTCTACCAACATGATAAATTTATGTATTTAACAAGTATTGATTAATAGGTATTAGTTACTGATAGGTATGAGGTACTAAGAAAATGTCAATGATCAAAGTAGTCTTTTTATTATTTTGGAATCACCCCTCTTGGAATGCTGTTACTTCTATTTGATTGGTGCTTTGGTACCTGTGATGTTGCTTATCACAGTTGTCTCATTTTTTGCTTTTGTCTTTTTTTAATATTTATTTTTTAGTTGTAGTTGGACAGAATACCTTTATTTTTATGTGGTGCTGAGGATCGAACCCAGGGCTTCGCACATGTAGGTGAGCGCTTGAGCGCTCTACCGCTGAGCCACAACCCCAGCCCCTACTTTTGTCTTTCTTTATCATAAATCATCCTCTTATGGAGGTGGCTTCCAGAATCCTGGCTTGTTCCTTTCTTCCAACCCTTTATAAATTATTTTTGGATACTTACAGCTTTTTGCCTTGCCTGCCATCATCTTATCTGTTAATTGGACAGACAAGTATCAGATTTTATTCTCATGGTATCAGTGAAATCATGGTAATAATCCTTAATTTTTATTTACCATGATTTCAGACACCCATAGTGTTCTGAAAATGTTAATGAAAAATTCCAGAAATAAGCAGTTCATAAGAAAATTGCCATTCTGAGTAATTGGGTGAAGTCTCACGTTGTCCTGGAATATGAACCTCAGTTTATCCAGTGTATCCATGCTGTATACACAGTTCAGCCTGTGACAGTAGAGAATGAGAGGGAGAGTTTATATTTACATAACTTTGAATATAGTATATTGTTATAATTTTTCTATTTTTGTTGTTACTCTCACTGTGAATAATTTTGTAAATTAAAGGAAAAACACAACATATTGTAGATTTTGGTACTATTCGTGGCTTCAGGCATGCACTGGAAGTCTGGAAATGTATTCTCTGAGGATAAGGGAAGATTAGTACTCTACCAAAATTAGAAATTTTATTCCATTATTTTCAGATCCAGAGATCATCTCAGACCAGTTTCATATTATGTCTGGATTATTTCTTATGATCATTGAGGCCTTTAAAAAGGTATACTTCACTGTACTCAAGAGAACATAGACCATATGATTATGAATATGAACATTTCTTTCTCTGTAAAATTCTTTGAATCTTGACCTTTGATTATGAAATTTTCTACTTATTCAGGTACTGCTTATCATTTAAACTTTTGTGGCACACACTGTAATCCCAGCAGCTCAGAAGGCTGAGACAGGAGGATTGTGAGTTCAAAGCCAGCCTCAGCAATGGTGAGGCGCTAAGCAACTCAATGAGACCCTGTCTCTAAATAAAATACAAAATAGGGCTGGGGATGTCAGTGGTGGAATGCCCCTGAATTAAATCCCCAGTTACACCCTCCCCCCAAATAAAAATTTAAACTTTAAAAAAATATGTTTTTAGTTACAAATGGACATAGTACCTTTATTTTATTCGTTTATTTTTATTTGGTGTTGAGGATCAAACCCTGTGCTTCACGTGCTGGCCAGCACTGTACCATCCCTAAACTTGAATTAAGTTGTCATTAAAATTTTCCTACTAATTTCATCTTTTTTTGATCAGCCCATTGATTGTCCATCCTATTTGGTGTTTTCTAGAGAAATTTAAAAGTCTTCAGTAAATTTTATTTATATTTGGATATCTACAGTCTTTATTATAAACTGTTGAAGAGAATGCTTGTGTTTTATTTTTTCTGTTGGCAGTTTTGAGTACACATGAGGTGCTCTTAATCTATGAATTATTTTGTGAAGGAGTGCTTCTTAATTATTATCATTTTTTAAATGGACAGTTTTTAAGAGTATTGCAGTAATCTTATATACCCACCATGCATTGAATAATTAATGTTTTGTTGTTTTTATGTGTGTCTATATCTGTTTTGTGTACCAAAATGTCCTGACACTTCATTCCTAAAAAATTAACTATATCTTTTCTAAAAATAATGAAATCCCCCATATAACCAAAATACCATTGCCACACCTTAAAAGACTAATCATAATGCTCTGATATTATAGATTATCTAGTTCAAGTTTCTCAGTTGTCTCCAAAATATCTTTTATAGGTTTTTGGGTTTTTTTGTTTTTTTAAATTTCAGGATTAGTTAAGAGATTTGGTTGTTGCCTTTTTAAATGGTTACCCCTCACCATCATTTTCCCCTGATATTTCCCTTAATATTTTTAAAATGTATACTGTCAGATGTGCCAAAAGAAAAAAAGGAAAGCCGTTGATACTATCCAGCCTTTAAAGTTATAGTTAGGATGTTAAAGGACTTTGCAATATATAAATTTGTATTTAAAAAAAATTTCATCTGCTGGGGATGTATGTATGTTAGTGGTGGAGTACTTGCCTGATATGGTCAAGGTCCTGGCTTGATTCTTTTTTTTTTTTTTTTAATTTATTTGTTGCCGCAGTTCGGCTGGGCAAAATAACCAGGAGGTGACAAACAACTTGAAGTTTGAAGCGGGAAATGCTTTATTACGGAACAACAGCAGTATATATACCTAACTGATTACACACAGCTTGTCTCAATTAGCATCATCTAGATACAGTAGTCAGCCAATAAGGAATCCTCACCATCTTAATGGCATTGCCTCACAAACCACTCCTCCTGGCAAACTGCCAGGCGCCATCTTGACTTGTTTTGCAGTCCCCAACAATTTGTTAGGTATAGTTGGACACAATGCCTTTATTTTATTTATTTATTTATTTTTATGTGGTGCTGAGGATCGAACCCAGGGCCTCGCACATGCTAGGTGAGCACTCTACTACTGAGCTACAACCCCAGCCCCCTGGCTTGATTCTTAGCGCTGGGGTGGGGGTAAGGTGGAGTGGGGGGTGGGAAGGGCAGTATGTATGTATCTTATATAAAATACTTTTAGAAAAGTGAATATAATTGTTATTAGTAGTTGAGAGAAAGGATTTTAAAAGATAAAATTAGGTCATTTAAGAGTATGTTCTTGGAACTCCTTCCAGGAGGATTAAAAGATAGGAGAGATTAGGCTAAGAAGGATATGAAGAACAAGATATGGAAAATTGTGACTTACCATTTATATATTTACCACTCTTGATCTTCTTTAGGGCCTATGAAAGCTGAGAATTTATTTCTTCTGGCTATCCATATCTTGAGGCTGGGGATATAGCTCAGTTGGTAGAGAGCTTGCCTCACATACATAAGGCCCTGGGTCAATCCCCAGCACTAAAATAAATAAATAATCAATCAATCTCTTTCAGGTCTTGAGGGAGTTTTTGCTTTCTCAGACATAACCTTACATAAGATTGAAACTCGACTCCTTCCTTAACTGTTTTCCATAGGATTTAGTAACTTGTTAGCAAATCATTTCTTTCCCACTGGAATGTAAACTTGAGGGCAAAAGATTTTTCAGTTTTAATCAGTATAGTTTCTCTAGAGCCTATACTTGTGCCATGCACATAGTAAGGATACAAAAAGCTATCTAATTCTACAGTGTTTTCATCACCACAAAAATGCTGTACCCATTAGCAATCACTTATATTTTTTAAAAATTGAGTACCTCTAAACTATTTGGTTTATATGGTGATATTTATCTTAAAAACATACAATTGAGGGGCTCAGTGGTAGAGCACTTGCTTAGGACATGTGAGGCAGTAAGTTCAATCCTCAGCACCACATAAATATAAATAAATAAAGGTATTATGTCCACCTACAACTAAAAAGTATAAAAAATACAATTGAGATACTTTTAAAAATATTAATTTACTTTAAAAAAAATGGGCTGGAGTTGTGGCTCAGTGGTAGAGTGCTTGCCTAGTACTTATGAGGCACAGGGTTCGATCCCCAGCATCACATTAAAAACAATGAACAAATAAAATAAAGGTATTGTGTGCACCTACAACTAAAAAAATATTTAAAAAAAAATAAAATGATTTCAGGTAACTAAACATTTCTTAATTAAAACAGTAATTTTCCGGGCTGGGGTTGTAGCTCAGTGGTAAGAGCGCTTGCTTTGCCCGTGTGAGTTGGGTCCTCAGCACAACATTAACAAACAAATAAATAAATAGTAATTTTCCAAAACAAAAAAAATGTAGTAAGAAAAGGGAATTGTTTTACATATTTGTAAATATCTTTGTCTGGTTTAATACAAGATGGCTGGATTCTCATATTAACTGTTGTGAAAGAAATATGCCCACAAAATCAGGCTTTACATAGCCCTCATTTTTCTATATAGTTAGAAAGGGGAAAAGTATTTTAATAGCCTTTTCAAGTAGTGATGAATATTCTTTGGTACTATAACCATGTTGACAAGGGTTGTTTTTTTTTTTTTTTTCCCTTAGATTGTCTGCCAATGTAGGATTTGAAACTGTATAAAAAATTTATTTTGTACTATTGTATAAAATCCAGTTTTGAATAAATTTATAGGCATAAGATGCTCTGGTGTGCTTTTGCACAGTATGGTGACTATAATATATTTTATATTTCAGAAAGCTTTAAGAAAGGATTTTGAGTTTTCATCCTAAAGAAATTAAAGTTTGGACTGGGGACATAGCTCAGTTGATAAGAGTGTTTGCCTGGCCTGCACAAGGCCATGGAGTCCCCAGCACCATTAAAAAAAAGAAAGAAGAAAAGTTTGAGGAGATTTTTTTTGTTCTTTGAATAGTTCTTCGAAACAGTTTTTTCATTTTTTTTTTTTTTTTTGAGACGACTTTTACTAAGATATTCTTTCCTTGGTTACCCTCTGAATTTGTCCTTAAAGCTTTTACTACTTGCTACTTGTTACTTGTGATGATATTTGACAAACAAGGTACCTATACCTACCTAACCATGGCTGAAAGTGTTAGAGGGAGGTCATGCAATTCTTTTGGAGTAAGAAGACCCTGTTCTTGGTAAATGGTAACACAGTCTCTACGTAGTCTACCTCATCCTTGATTCTCCCTTTCTTAATTTCTTTCTTTCTTTTTTTTTTTTTTTTTTTTTTGGTACTGGGTATTAAACCCAGGGGTACTAACCACTGAGCGACATCTTCAGTCCTTTTTTATGTTTTATTTAGAGACAGGGTCTCACTGAGTTGTTAAGTGCCTCACTGTTGCTGAGGCTGGCTTTGAACTCACAATCCTTCTGCCTCAGCCTCCCAAGCTGCTGGAATTACAGGCATGAGCCACTGCACATGGCTATTTAATTATTTTTATGTGGTGCTGAGGATCAAACCAAGTGCCTCAAACTTGTTAGCCAAGCACTCGACAACTGAGCTACAACCGCAGCCCCACAAGGGAACTTTTTCTTAATGCTTATTTCTCACAAAACCTTGTTATTGTTTCATTAGTGAAATATCTTCTTATAACTCTCTGATTGGTATTTGTGTTTCGTTGTCGTGTCTTGCTTGTATTTCCTCCAAGCTGTTTTTTTTCTTTTCTTTTTTTATGTTTTCTTATGTTTTGGCAGGGTTATTCAAATGTGTGTGAAATACTTATGGCAATCATATTTAACAGTGATTCACTAAAAGGGGATCATAAGTGCTTTTGTTTCTGGGTTAGTTTAATGTTTATCATGTACCTTTTGGTTTCTTCAGAGAAAGATCCTCTAATATCTTGCTCATAGGTATGTATGCATACCTTAGTGCCAACATTGTTTTGGCTTCTGCTGCTGAATGTCAAATCTATATGTAATATGGTGCTGGAAGTCTTGCCGTATTACATATAGGTTTAACCCTAGTGGTTTCAACATAGTGGCTCTCCCCGTCATCTCATTATAGCTTGATGGTAGGATGCTTGCCTAGCATGCGCAAGGCCATGGAGTTCAACCCCCGTACCAGGGGTAAAAAAGAGTATTGATTTGCTGGGTGCCCTTGAGGATGCAGCTTATTTGATTAAATTTCTACAAAGAATTAGTCAACTTGATATGAAGAAGTTAGTCCTTGTCTGTTTTGACTGGATGACTACAAGTCCAAATGTCATACTATCCCCCCGCCCCCGTGGTAGTACAGGAGTTTAAATTCAAGGATGTACTACCATTAAGCTATATCTTCAGTCCTTTTATTTATTATTTTCAGACAGGGTTTCACTAAGTTGTTGAGGGTCTTCCTAAGTTGCCAAGGCTGGTCTTGAAATTGTGCCTCAATTTTCTCTCTCCTAAGCCTCCCAAATTGCTGGCAGTCATACTTTCTTTTATTTGGCTACTATCCTTTATTCCTTTTTCTGAAATATTTGTGTCCCTTCATCTCCTGATTTGCTGGGTTTCTGTTCTCACGACTAAAAGGCTCAGGGGTCACTCCAGTTAAACTGGGCTAATTGGGCTGCATGAAATAACCACACAGGAGACACAAATACCTTTTTCTTTGGGGTTGCTGTGATGGCTCCTCTGACCTTAAAGGTCCGCAGAAAGAGAGCGAGAGTACACGCTGACCCCTTTTAGTGAGAAGAAGCTATTCAAATGAGGCAAGGGGTCAGTTTTCAGGGGGTTGAGTCTATCTTCATTATGTCCACTGTCAGTAGGTTGACTGATACCCGGGTAGGCTAGGGGCACAGTAAGAAGGGGACACACATGAGGCACTTCCATGGAAGATTCTATCCTAAACAGGACAAGGGGTTATATTACAAAGGAACAGGTGAGCATAGCTTCACCCATGGGACTGTAGCAAGACACACCCATGCACAAGACACCGACATTCGAACCCAAGAAGAGTGGGGAAAGCTCTGCCACATTTCTGTGACTGAGCACCTCAGCACCCAGCTGGGGCGTATGTCTCAGTCACATGTAAGGTTGGTCTCCCACACTGAGTCTTTTTGATATTTTGTAATAAAAATCAGATTTTGATTAACATTGTCATCCTCTTATGCAGGATCTTTATATTATATGAGCTTCCTCAAATAACATATTTTATTGTATATTTTTTTTTGTGGTGCTGGGGATTGAATGCAGGGCCTTGTGTACATCAGGCAAGCTCTCTGCCAACCGAGTTATATCCCCAGCCCCCCACAGATAACATTTTGTTGTGCATTGAAAAATCTTTCATTGTTGAAAAATTATGGCTGTTGTGTCCTATGTCTCCTACATATGCTTTTTCTTACAAGTTTTTACCATTGTTCCTTGTTATTTTTCTTTTTAATACAATTGTTTTTAGTTGTAGTTGGACATAATACCTTTATCCTGTATATTTATTTTTATGTGGTGCTAAGGATCGAACCCAGTACCTCAAATGTGCGAGGCAAGTGCTCTGCTGATTAGCCACAACCCCATTGCCATGTTCCTTGTTATTTTAATCTGGTTTTGGTAGGGACCAGTCGTGTGATCTTTTCCCTTTCTTAAACATCTCATTTAAGTCTTATGGTATGTGGACTGAGATAGTCAAGTAACCACAGCTTTCTCATTTTTATATGCTCATCTTTTTATCTGTTTGGCAGTTCCTCATTGTTAGGCTTTTTGCTGAATTTGGGAATGGCAGTGTTTTTTCAAGAGTGGTCTAAGCTTTGTGAACCCACAAGTTTAGCTTTTACTCACATGCCCCCTCTAATGGTTCTCTTCTGAAAATTTAATTAGAGACGTTGTTCATATGGATTTCTTCCTTCTGGGAGATGGCCTACCAGCAAAAAGCACAATTTGATATTTTATTGCTGGTAATGGGAACATTCACAAATAATAGTTGTCGGAGACCAGCTCCAACAGGGGGTCTCAGGAGACGAACGGATGGTGAGGAGTCTGCGAAAGAGGGGTGGAGAAACAACACAGACACCAAAGTGCAGGTGTTGATCCCAATCTTTACTTGTGAAGCTGATCATATATACTTTTCATTTTGGCAGGCTCACAGTACTTTGTGGTTACAAAACAGGAATCATTATTCAAAGAAACAAAATATTACGTAGCTACAATTAGAATAGAAGAATGCATAAGCAAGCATTTGTACTTTCAGTTCGCGTTTTGCTTTGAGCTGTTTCTGCTTAGTTAACTTTTAATAATAGTTAGAAATGTCCCAATCTATTGGCCTATACCTTGACTATTCTTTCTTGACTTACTGACTGGAACCGGTGCCATGGTTACGGCAAGTGGTTGACTTGTTATTAATTTTAATCAAACAAGAGTAAGAGCACAAACCATTGTGCACAGGAACAAGAACAAGTTGCCCAGTACTAAGCACTAATCTGTCTTCTTAACATTAATTTTTCTTCTCTAGATTTTAGTTTAATTTCTCAAAAACTTCCTTGACAGGAATACACGGAGTTTTTCACTAGACATTAACAATTTACACTCCACAGCTGAATCATTGCATTTAGAGCAAACAGATCCATTCTTTAGAAGTAGTTGCATTAATTGGGAAAGTCATGTTTTTTCCTTCATACTTAATGGTCATATGAGAAATCGCAACTATACTTATTAAAGGAACACAAAAATAAATCAGCCCATTCCCAGAAACATACTGCGCTCCTCCAGAGGATGGATGCCTTGCGCCATCCACCTCAGTAGGGCCTTGCCATTGCCTGAGTCAGGGGAGGGGCACAGCAAATAGTGATGGTAATGTAAAGGTAATATTTATGAATGCTCACCATGCACCACCTATGATTCTGAGCATTTTATATATTAACTCCTCTAAATTATCATTCTTTACTCCATTTTAGAAAAAGCCTGAGAAGATGATGAACAGATAGAGAAGCAACAAGACTTGGGAGGCAAGTTGTGTTCATCAAACTACAGACTGAGGAAAAAAGGATGTGGATATAAGAAAATTGGAAAAATCCTGTTTGCTCAACCTCATTTCTTTAAGGAAACATTTTTGAAGTTTTAGGTTGAAACTGTTTAGACTTAACCATGAGGGAAGGTATGTAGTTGAGTCTCCAATTTTACTAGCTGGATGTTCTCTACCACTGCTTATTTCTTATGGTAATATCCCCCTATAAGTGTAAAGCAGTGTGAAATGCCTTCAGTATAAAAAGTGTGATATAGCATCTGATAGCAGAGCATTCATACTGGAGGAAAACCTCATGAGTTTACTGAATGTGGGAAAACTTTTACCCACATATCACATTTCATTGAACATAGAAGTCATGCTGAAGGGAAACCTTGTGCTTCTAAAGAGTATTGAAAAGCCTTTAGCTAGATGATAAAATTTTCTCACAAATCTTATCCATTCCTCTGCATTTGAGAGGTCATACAGAGAAGCCTTCTAAATGTAAGAAATGTGGAAATATCTTCAGTCAAAAGTAAATCCTTGTGTATCAAGAAATTCATACTGGAGAGAAACCTTGTGAATGTGGGAAAGCTTCCATTCAGATGTCACACCTCAGTCAGCAGAGAATTTATAGTGGGGAAAGCCCCTTTGCCTGTAAGGTATGTGGGAAAGTCTTCAGCCACAAATCCAATCTTACTGAGCATGAGCTTTTTCATAATAGAGAGAAACCTTTTGAATGTAATGAATGTGGGAAGGCCTTTAGCCAAAAGCAGTATGTCATTAAACATCAGAATACTCATACTGGAGAGAAGCTTTTTGAGTGTAATGATTGTGGAAAATCCTTCAGCCAGAAAGAAAACCTCCTTACCCATCAGAAAATCCACACTGGAGAGAAACCTTTTGAGTGCAAAGATTGTGGGAAAGCTTTCATTCAGAAGTCCAACCTTATCAGACACCAGAGAACTCACACAGGAGAGAAGCCCTTTATATGTAAGGAGTGTGGGAAAACCTTTAGTGGGAAATCAAATCTTACTGAGCATGAGAAAATTCATATTGGAGAGAAACCCTTTAAATGTAATGAGTGTGGAACAGCTTTTGGCCAGAAGAAGTACCTCATAAAGCATCAAAACATTCACACTGGAGAGAAACCCTATGAATGTAATGAATGTGGAAAAGCCTTCTCTCAACGAACATCACTTATTGTGCATGTGAGAATTCATTCAGGTGATAAACCTTATGAATGCAATGTATGTGGAAAAGCCTTCTCTCAGAGTTCATCTCTCACTGTACATGTAAGAAGCCATACAGGTGAGAAACCTTACGGATGTAATGAATGTGGAAAAGCTTTCTCTCAATTCTCAACCCTAGCTCTGCATTTGAGAATACATACAGGTAAGAAACCTTACCAATGCAGTGAATGTGGGAAAGCTTTCAGCCAGAAATCACACCATATTAGACATCAGAAAATTCATACTCATTAAAAACCCTAGGAACACATCAAAAATTTATATATCATAAAGTCATTCTGAGGCAGTGTATCACAAATGAAGGGAACAACTTTGAGGACACTGAAAATTCATACTGAAGAGGAAGACGTTTGTATGATAAGCAGACTGCCAATAAAAAAAGTACTCCACAGTCAATGGTAAAGGTAATGCTGAAACAATAGACATTTCCATTAAAATTGGAACAGAAAACAGGCCTGTTACTCCATCAATATAGATGTGAAGTTCTTCACTTGTGTAATAAGTTGTATTAGAAAGGAAGAGACAAAAACAGATGGTATGATCATCTATAAGTAATAAAACTCTGGTATTGCTTCAGCAGAGGGAAAGAGATTCCAGAAAGAGAACTATGCTTTTAGTAGAACTTGCAATATTAAAGAAATTCATCAGATGAGTAAATACGGGACTATTTAAAAAAATTATTTGGAGGTAATTTGTTCTCTAAAGGGGAAAGAAAATAGACCATGAACACACAAGCAAAATTCATGGGAATTGAAGACTGAAAGATACAAAAGCCATGCACTAAAGTGGCTGTGACCTTTGGAGTAGGGAAACTTTCCTTCTTAACAAATTTAAAAATATTTAGCAGTTTTACTTGTGAGTGTATATGCTCAGGAGATAACCAGGAAATTTACTGTGGCTTGATTTGTAGCCAAATATTGGAAACAACTTAAATATTCATCAGGAACAAAAAGAAGTTCTTATGATGTGACACTATACATCTGCAAAATGCAACTATGAGATCCACATGTTATTAACAGAAGGATCTAAAAAAAATTGCATTGAGGGGGAAAAAGAAGTTGCAGGATGATACATACAGTGACTTTGTAAATTTGAATTAAAATTTCATGAAATTTAGTACTTTATATTGGTAATGAATACATACGTGTATGTTAACATTTTTGAAATGGAGAAATACAGGCCAAACTTTTGATAGTGGTAGCCTGTGAAGAGCAAGAGGGGAAGGGAATAAGTATGGGAGGTAGGGTGGGGAGGGGGCTTCAGCTTTTTATATAAAACATCCATTTCTCTTGAAGACTGCAAGTAAATATATGAAGATACTGGCTAATTCTGGATTGTGGTATATGGATATCTTGTCTTATTTTTTGTACTTTTCTGTATTTTTAAAATTTCTCAAAGTTAATAAGAATGGGAGTGAGGATGGAACTCTGTACCTGTAGAAGTTATGTTATAATGGACTAATTCCCAATCAAATACTAAACTTTTTATAGAAAATATTTCTAAAATTTTATCAACAATGAGTGGATGGACTTGCTCTCTATGTAATATGAAATTATCTATTTTATTAAAATTAAAATGACAGCATACTACAAATCTGTTTATTTAATGTGTTATACTGTATAATGTCTCATTTTTCTAACATTTTGCAGCATACCACTTGAGATTAGGAAGATTTAAGAATTTATTAAATAAGGATACATGGATAGGTTGTATATAATTTTTCTTTTTCAGATAGATTAATTTTGGAGTGTCAGTTTTCCTGTCCTTTAAATTACTTTGGGAATCATGCATTAAAAGTTTTTGATCATTTTCATTTTTTAAAAGAAAACCATTCAACGTCTGAACTTATACATCTTCCGGTTTTAGATACCAACATTTTAGTCTTGCAGACTGTTTTCATTCTTCCCACTTCATTGACAGACACATCTTTTTGTTTCTTTTACATATGTGGGGAGAAGATGGGATGGGGCAAGAAACTTGGCCCACTCAGACCATGGACAGAATTCTGTTACCTAAATTGTCCTGAAGATTTTTTTTTTTAAAGTTGCATCCTTCTTCAACAGTGTAACTTGATAAAGAATGTTACCGGTTTTTTTTTTTTTTTTTCCAGTGAATGTCAACAAAGAGCCATTTGAGATTGACTTTAACCTTGGAAAGTCAAATTTGGTTAATGTGACTGCATTATTATGTATCTTATTAGTCTATTTTGGGGGAATGATCATGAATTGCATAAATAGGTAATTCTTGTCCTTTGTAATACAAAGTCTCATGCCCTTTTTCTCTGCTTTCCCTATATATGTAATCCACATTTTAAGGTGTTCTCTCTTTTTACAGATTTAAGAAAGAAGCTATTTTATGAGAAACTTGTTTCTGGAATTTGGTAGCTAACCACTGATAATGGCATAGACAATGATTTAGTCATGAAAAGCAATGATGATACGATGTCCTGTTTGGCACAAGAGTCTCTCCTGCCCAGGATTTTTTTTGGGGGGAGGGCGGGTACCACGGATTAAATTCAGGAGTACTCGACCACTGAGCCACATCCCCAGCCCTATTTGGTATCTTATTTAGAGACAGGGTCTCACTGAGTTGCTGAGCACCTCGCTGAGGCTGGCTTTGAACTTGCAATTCTGTTTCAGCCCCTGGAACCACTGGGATTACAGGGATGAGCCACCAGGACCGGCTTCTCCCCATATTATTTTTATTTAATAGTTCCTTAATGTCAGTGCACCTTACAGTCATCTAGTGGGCTTGTAGCTGTGCACTGCTTCCAGTTTCTGATTCAGTTAATTTGGTGATGGGAACTTACGATTTGTGTTTTTAACAAATCCCCAAGGGATTCTAATGCTGTTGTATTAGGGACCACACTTTGAAAGGATCCAATGTAGTCATTTTATCTTTAGTATAGATGTAGTACACATCCAACCATACCCATTTTATATCTAGAAAAAAATTAACTGGGTGTAGTGGTACATGCGTTTAATCCCTCTATTTATCCAGTTCTGCTTGGCTGGCTAAGGTCTTGGACCTGACAGTATGTGCTTGGTCAGGTATGATTGGAATTCAAATGCACCCAAAATTGTGAGCCTGGCTGGGCGCATGGAATACTCCCGGCATGGGTGGGGAAAGTCTGACCCTGAAGAGGAATGGAAGCCTGAGGTTGGAGGATATCAAGGTCCAGGCTGCCAACAGCAATTTAGACCCTGTCTAAAAAAGGGCTGGGGATGTAGCTCAGTGGTAAAGCCCAGGGTTCCATCCTAGTATCCGCTCCCCCACAAAAAGATTGTATTCACATTTACATAGTGCAATTGTTAACACTAAAGCAAGTCGTGTCATGTCTAGTTCAGTGTAATAGGTAAGTGAGAAAACATTTTTTAATGTGGTTCTGAGGATCAAACCCAGTGCCTCACACATGGTATGCAAACACTGACCCACAACCCCAGCCCCAAGAAATTATCTTGCTGCAAATACTTGCCTGATCATTTCATACAAAATGTACATAATAACATCAAAACACAGTCCGGTGGCCAGCCTCAGAGACCCTGTTTCCCAAAAAGAGGGGACGGGGCTGGAGATGTGGCTCAGTGGTTAAGCAATCCTGTATTAATATAAAAATACAAAGGACTGTGGATGTAGCTCAAAGGCAGAGCACTGCTGAGCTTAATTCTCAGAACCTGGTGTGAGGGGTCAAGGAGACATTAAGGAAAAGATGGGGAGGCAGCTATTGTAATAGGAAGAAGGGGACTGGGGTTGTCGGTCAGCGGTAGAGTGCTGACCTAGCACATGCTGAGCCCTTGGTTTGATCTTTAGCACCACATAAAAATGAATAAATGGATATTGTGTCCAACTACAACTAGAAAATATTAAATAAAATAGCCAGAAAAAAGCCACACACCAAAAAATGCAAAATTGAATAATAGAAAAAAATTAGATTGGGGGCTGGGGTTGTGTCTCAGTGGTAGAGCGCTTGCCTAGCACGTGCGAGGCCCTGGGTTTGATCTTCAGCACCACACAAAATAAGTAAAATAAAGGTATGTGTCCAACTACAACTAAAAAATGATTTTACTAATTTAGATGTAAATGGCCTCAACATAAAATAGACTGTAAGGCAAATGTTTAAAATTATAGGCTAAAATCATTTAGAGACGTAAAATTTCAGTTCACCAGCGAGGGAGATACAGAAGGGCTTGTGCAGTCAGGACAAGATGGCAAGTAAGGTGGTCGGGCGCACGTCCAGAACAAAGGAACTTGGAGAGGATCTTCTGGTGAGGTCAACTTCCTGTTTGATGAAAGTGTTCCTGGACACAAGTGGCAAACCAGACACACACTTCTGTACTTGTGCTACTAAGCAGGGTCTCTATTTTGAAAAAACAGACTCCTAGACAAGGGGCACCAATCAATTAAGAGTAGTGTATGGACGGGGGAGGAGCCAAATTCCAGAGACCATAGAAAGAAGAGGTCAAAACACCGAGTTCCCAGCTCTGGGGCCCCTTCTCTTCCAAGAAGTCTCATTTTTGCAATACACCTACTTCTTATTTACTATCTGTTTCCTGTTCTTCAATTCTTTGCTGAACTTAGGCAACTAACCCAGGGTCCCTAGACAGTAACACCAGGAGCATATCATGATTTCAATGTTATCTGTTCCTGAATAATATATAGCCTGAGGATATTCATTAAGCAAGAAACTGTGAGAATCACAAGGAGAAATTGACAAATTCAAACATTTACACCCTACCAGGAACAAAGGCAATTCAAGACTGACTTAGGGTCATTTCTTCTACTTTTGAATCTTCACTGCCTAAAAAGATGGGAATGGAATTCCTTAGGAAGGATAAAAGCTGGCCCACAGATTGTGTTATGACCTTGGTCTGCCTCTTCTTACTCCGGAATCTGTTTTTTCACCCATCAGTTACGGATAACCATCCTGGGCTGGCCAACAGTTCCAGGGGAAGGGGTCTGGGTCATGCATTCTACAGTCAAGCTTGGCCACTCTTGTGCGTGGGTGGCCAGTCTTGAACTACATTTCCCAGAATCCTTCTTGTCTCAATGCTACTAAACGCCGGAAGTCATAATTCGGGTATCCCTGGTGTCAGTGACCTCAGGATCCCTTAGGTACATCAGATGAGACTACCTCGGGTTGCTTGGTCTGGACCTACGACCCACCATGTCGCTGTCCTGGACTCCTCTGTCCCCAAGACTGTTCTCAGCCCCAGTACCTTCGCCCCCGAGAACCTGG